TTGAGAGGGTAGGTATTGCGTCCTCTTAAGAGAGACTGTCCTAAGTATGGTTTACTATTATAGTTCCCCATGCCTTTCAAGTATCAAATGATAAAACAGGGAAAATGTTTAGTGTTCAAACTTCGAAGACTGATTATAAGAATGAGCTCATAAAGTTTTTTTTGGGGAAGTTTTAATTTTAGTTAATTCATACATCATAGTCCCATAAGCAAAGGTTCCCTACACGCAACTGATAACTTTTTGCCTTATCCATTCAAAAAATTTATTTTAATAAATCAAAATTTTTAATATTGATTTAATTTTCAAGAACAAATGTTTGCTGTCTTAACATGTGAGGTAATGACAACGGTTCATTCTTACAGCCCCTACATTTTCATCTATGATTTCGTTGTACCAACCTGCTATGGTTTTGATGGACTAACCTAACTTTTGATGGACTAAGCTGTCCTTGCAAAACCTTTCCTTCTTGCTGATTACTCTGAGTTAGAAAAGTCTAACAGTAATATGATTTGAACTGTTAATGATACTGATTACCTACTTCAAACAGGAGTAAGGTTTTCAAATGCAACTATGGACCCTTAACCGAAATATCCCAACTGACCTATGCATATATGAGCATTGAATCCATATCTTTTCCAGATACCCTCCTATTTTTTGCTTTGTCAGTCATATCACTAATCGATGAAAGTAGTAGAAAACCTGAAGAAACAAAATCTGGCAATAGAAGTTCTGGAATATTTATTAAATTAGATGTATTGATAATTAATATTAATTATTTTTCTAGAGACATTATATACTAAAACTAAAGATAATATTATGAGAAACTAACATTTTAAAGGCTAATTTAAGAAATAAAACGACAAAGTTTTTTTTTCTTTTAAAAGTTTCAATTTTGTTGATTTGATACAGTTGAATTTCCTTAGGAAAAATTCTTCCGCACAGCAGCAATTGATTCTGATTTTGAGCTTTCTAAAATGTGCAAAATTATAAAAATGCTAATTTTTTTTTTATCTCGCTTTAATTTTCAGGTGGAAATGTTTGCTGTCTAAACCTGTGGGGTAAGGACAGTGGACCATTCTTTCAAGCTCTCCATTTTACGTATGGCTTAGGTGGATTGATAGCTCCTCTCGTAGCAGCTCCTTTCCTTGGTGATTACTCTGAATATGAACAATTGGGCGGTAATATGACGCTAGCTGCCAATGATAGTGGCTACCAAGTTCCGACAGAAGCAATGTTTTTAAATGCATCAAGTATAACTTCCGCTGAAATACCCCGAGTCACCTACGCGTACATGAGCATTGGAGCCATATCGTGTTTTGTTACGCTTTTGTTTCTTGTGATGTCAGTCATATCACCAATCGATGAAAGTGGTAGAAAACCTGAAGAAACAGCATCTGGCAATAGAAGTTTCGGATTTACAGCCATCATCGTAATTCTAACTACTATCCTAATCCAAACTTCAATGGGTACTGAAGTTGGATATGCCCAAATGCTAACCACTTATGCCGTTAAAGGACCACTGCATCTAACTCCGACTACTGGAAGCTACATGACTTCAACCTATTGGGCTGCATTTACAGTTGCAAGGTTCGCAGGAATATTTTTGACTATTAAATTTAGCCATTTAACTATATTAGTGTTTGATGTCATCGTAACGTTCCTTGGTGGACTAGTTTTATTATTTTTTGCCACTCACTACGATTGGGCTCTTTGGGTTGCTTCCATATTTCTTGGAGTTGGAATAGCATCTTTTTTCCCAGCATCAGTGAGTTGGATTGAAAAATATATCAATATCACAAACAAAATAGCTTCAACATTTCCTATTGGAGCAGCTGTGGGAGAAATGCTTATTCCTTACGCAATCAGCTATTTTATGGAAAAGAAGCCAGAAGTTTTTATTTATGTAGTTGTTGTAAGTTGCTCTATAGCAATTATTGTTACTTTTTTCATGTATTTAATATTAAGAAATACACCTGATAAATACACGATAAAGAAAGGTGTTGAAAATTCTGCATATGTTGATAAGGAAAGTCATATATAGTATAATTTTAGAAATGCAATAAATTAAAAACTCCTCTTGTTTTGAAAATGGTTATAAATAAAGTATGTAAATAAATTAATTTAGTTTATTAAGCTTTATTCAATTTAAAAGGAAGCATAAATTTTATTTTACCAAAGCTAAATAAAAATGAGAAAAATGACACACAATGAAAGTAAAAATTTAAATTTCGATGTTCAAAAATATTGAAAACTGCCCATCACCATGGGAGGAACCTCAGAAGAACAATTGTACCTTATTTTTTGAAATTTCCTAAAAGGTGTGAATAAGAAAATCAATTATTTATTTTATTTTATTACCGTCTTTGAACAACCGACCGAATTTTCAGTTTACGGCTACCATTGTTCAACTCCGCTGTCTCGTAATTTTGAACCCTATCCAATTTGAATATTATTATATATATCTGTGTGCGTGCGTGCGTGCGTGTGTTAAGATAAAATGAGCTTTCAGGAATGCTTAAAGGATGGAATGTGTCAAAATACTTTGGGCACCATTGCTATATGCGTTATTATATTCTCATATACTGTTTACTATAATGTTATATTCTGATTTTTTTTTACATTTTGATAAAAATTGTTTTAATGTACACTTTTTATTTAAACTTCAAAATGATCTTTGTTATTTTGCAAGTACAGGTAAATTAATAAATCACATTGATTAGAATTATATAACAATCTGAAGTAATACAAAATAGTAAAAATTGCTTCTAATGTTTATTAAATATTACTTTAAATGAATTTTTACACAATAATATGAACAATTATTCATAAATGAAACAAGTAAATGTCAGTAATAGATTAATCTTAGCAACTGTCAGCAAAATTTTTTCTGAATCTCATAATTTTTTTAGGAACTTCATGTTTCTTTTTTTTTTACTTACTTATTTAATGTATTATTTGTTTTACATATTTTTTTCCTATTTATTAAATTTACATTTTTTTTTTTTTTTTTTTTTTTNTTTTTTTTTTTTTTTTTTTTTTTTTTTTTTTTTTAAGATTTTCAAATAATATTTTTTTACAAAATTCATGGAGAAAGTAAGTCAGACAAACGACAAAATACGAAATATAAGATACATACGAAGAAAGATAGTTTCAAAAGAGATGAATTTTTTAAATCTACTTATTGGATTTTTCGTAAATGGCACTTTTCCATTATAGCCTGCAATTGTATAACATTTTGATTCTTCGTGAGTCCAACACGGACATTGATGTTTTTTCGTGAACCTCAGGAAGTGTCCTTCCATCTTTGGCCACCATGCTGTGAGTCCATTCCTTAGCAAAAGATTTACTACCATACAGCATAATAGAGCTGAAGTCAAATTCAGTCAGCAGTCTGTTTTCCTCCGGATGAAGCTTTCTAAAAGCATAGTACCAATCTGTAGACAAAAAATAATTATGTGATTATTTTATTTTATTTTATAACCGTCGTTGAACAGCCGACCCGATTTTTGGGTTTACAACTACTAATGTTCAACTCCATAGCCATGTAATTTTGAATCCAATCCAGAAGACGAGGGAACTCTTGGATCAAGTATTGGGAGAAATTTGCCTTCGTGAAGGACTTTTTGAGGGAACTAACCCGCATTTGCGTTACATGGAGAGGAAGACCACGAGAACCTCCCACAGTAAGCCTAACGGCGAAGGGAATCTAACTTATGATCCATCTACCACCGAGGATATTTTACGTCAGCACTGTGGTCGGAGCAAGCCATCGCTGGATTCGAAAGCGGTTCACCTCATTGGAAGGCGAACGCTCTATCCCCTGAGCTATTGCGGCTCAATAATAATGTGGTTATAGCACTTTTCACTTCTTCGGGAAAAAATCTCGCTGAATTTGCACTGCATTTTTTCCCAGTTTTTAATTTCAAGACCCGGTATCGGGTAACCCGACCAGACCAATTTTACTGGATATCTAGTGATGATTAACATTCATTTAAATTTGACTGAATTATAATAACTTTAAAACTAATCATTATAGTATTTATAATTTTGGAAATCCATGTATGAAGTTAGAATAATTGTTTAGGCATGACAATTATTGCAGATTTACTCAGTGTAGAATTTTAACCCCTTATCGATCGGTTAATTTTCAAGAAAACGGTCATAAAAGTGCCTATTTTTTTATCCCTGAAAACTGATTAGTGCTGACATCTAGTTTAAAATAAACTAACTATCTACAATTACCTTAAAAATATCCCGGTACTGTCACTTGGTGTGTAAAATGAGAAATAAAATGCTTTCCGGGCAAAAGAAATGAATTAGTTTTATTCTTATTGCGCGTTACTACTGAACACTTCAGCCCGGAAATATCACGGGAGCGAGAAATAGAGGGCGAAACCTCATCCCGTCATTTTTACGGGATCGGGTTAACTGAAGGTTTTTTTGTTAAATAGGACATTTTCGGGGCAGAAAGGCATCCACTTAGAAAAAGGACATAAAAATTCAGAAAACTATTTTCATTAAATTAATGTAGTTAAATAAATCCAAATTTATAAATAAGAAATTAAAAAAATAGTATTTTTAAAATTAATTATAGAAAGAAGCGATATACAACCATTGGGCCTTTCATACTAAATTTGCTTTCCTCAAATGAATGAATGCAATAATTGGATTTTATGATATGAGTTTGAAAGCTTTCACAGAAGTATAATAGAAAACAATAACAAACAGAACTTAAATATTTTCTTACTAGTGACATATTGATTATTCTAATGTTATAACTGATTCAAACTTCATTGAAAATTAAGTTCTATGTAAATAAAAGCAAATGTTAAAAAAACGAGACAATTGTTTTCACAAAAATCAATGAATATTTTAAAACTAGTATTTATTTTGAACACAAAAAAAACTTTTAATCTTTACATTGCTAAACAAGAAACGCATTTGAAAACATTTTATCACATTTTCAGTATTGGTTGATTTACGTTTAATATTGAAAAAAAAGCATGTATAAAAGAAAATACAGTACGAAATTAAAATTTAAAAGCATGTAATAATTAATTCGCATGTAAGTTAATTAGGTTCGTGACAAAATACGACATCTTTAAAATGTCGTTCTTTATTTTAAAATTCACTTACCTGGTTGAATATTTTCCCAATTTATTGTGAGATATTCATCTCTATCTGATCTGTTATGCTCATGCTCAAAACCAATTGCATGCATGAGTTCGTGCACAATTATTCCGAAGTTTTCACATCCATATCCAAGAGAAAGTTGATTTTCTCTTCCGATTCTTCCCCAATTTGAATAACATCTAAAAAGAAAATAAACCCATTTTAAACCCATTTCACCTCCATATCCAAGAGAAATCTGATTTTCTCTTCAGTTTCTTCCCCAATTTGAATAACATCTAGAAAGAAAATAAACCCATTTCAAAAATTAAAAATCATAACATTTCGTAAGTTATAGCCTTAATGTTCTTTGAACATTAAGGATTGGCCGGGATAGCCTGGTCGGTAGGGCGCTTGGTCCATGTCCGAGAGTTCATGGGTTCGAACCCCGCCGGCCGAAGACTCCTTGCAGTAAAATGACTTATGCACGTTAAAATTCTTCGAGTCGCAAAAGTCCTCCACGTTCCCATAACAAATCAACACCTCTGGGGGTACTGGATTGGAGACCGATCGTTCTCTGATTCAGGTCAAAATTACGATCTGTGGATGAATGAATGGGTCCGCCCTATAAACGGGTGCGACGTACGGTGTGGCAGAAGTCGAATTCTTGGCCGTAGATGGCGCCACTGGAAAACAAGAGCAGTCGCACCCCCTCTGCCTAAACAGGCATACGTCAACAACAACATTAAGGATATATTTTGTAATTATTGGGATAATTAACCTAATTGACTGAGTTGCTAAACTGCTTGTTTTCACCATGACAGGAGCCTGATATTCAGATCACGTGCCCTTTCCAAAAAAATTAAAAATTAAAACCAAAAAGTTTCATTCCGATATTTTGTATTTCCGATATTTTGTCCGAGTTGATCCAGTTATTTTGTAACAATCGTTAGTAAGGGATAACTAGCTCATTAGACAGTATACACGTTTTCACGAAACAGAAATCTAAAATTTGGAAATTGAGTTCTTTATGAGATAAATAGAAAAGCTGAGAAAATTTCATATAGATATTTTGTAGTTATCGGGACAATTAGGGGAAAATTTGGCTAATTGACACGTTTTCACAATAAATTTCTCGAATTTGGACCATGTGTTCTTTATCAGAATAAAAGAAAAACTAAAAGTGTTTCATTTTGATACTTGTGACTATCGGTGTAAATGAAGATCCATTAGCCCAAAATTGACAGTAATTGCAAATAATACATTTTGACCGCGATAGAAATTTTAAATTTAGACCACGTGCATTTAATTACGCAAATAGAGAAACCAAAAAGTTTCATTTCGATACGTTGAAAATATGGGGGTAATTAGACTGATGGAGTGATTAGATTAATTGACAGCTATGTTTAATAACATATTCTTTCGTATTACCAGGATGTGTTCGGCGTAGCATAGCCTATTAAGGCTTTTGTGCCATTAAACCGAGAATTGGTGAATTCATGCAAGTTGATGACAATATGGAACCGCGAAGTGGTGAGTATGTTTGGGAAAACGTAACTGAGCACTGTTGATCGCATTGGTAGTAAGAATTTTATTTTTTATTTTATAACCGACGTTGAAGAGCAGACCCAATTTTTGGGCTTACGACCACTAATGTTCAACTCCGTATCCTTGTCATTTTGAACCCAATCCAGAAGACAAGAGAACTCTTGGATCAATTATTGTGAGAAATTTGCCTTCGTGGTGGACTTTTTGATGGAACTAAGCTCAATTTGCGTTACATGCAGAGGGAAACCACGTAAAACTCCCACGGTTAGCCCGACAGCAAGGGGACTCTAATCCATGATCCGTCTACCACTGTATATATTTTACGTCAGCACTCTGATCGGTACGAGCTGGCTGCTGAATTCATATCGACCAGCCCTGGCTGGGATTCGAACCCTGTTCACCTCATTCGAAGGCGAAACCTCTATCCCCTTAGCCACCCAGGCTCTTTTATAATATTTGAACGATCCCCAGGTTTTGATGATCTTAATTAATCTAAATGATATTAATCCTTCCTTAATTGTAATTTGTTAGATTTCAATAGCGTGTTTGATTTTTTCTTGGCTGAAATGTCAACGCCGAATATGTAAACAATTTTCTTTCTTTTTCTAAGAATTTCAAAAGATGTGTATAAATTAATGAACAACCTGTATATTTCGAAAGTCGATTACTCTTAATTTACCATCACTTACCCCGTATGTCTGAAAATCTTAACGTAATCGTGCTCGTAAGACCTTTCGACAAAATTAATACAGCTGTGGTCTTCAATGTGTTTCATTGCATTTCGAATTTCCTCTCTCAAATATTCTGAAATTAAAAAAAAATAAAAATAATATGTATTAACAATTCTTATCGATACTTCAATAACCCCCCCCCCCCCCCNCCCCCCCCCCCCCCGAAAAAAAGAATATCGCAATACGAGTCTTAAAAACAATTAAAATTAATTTTTTTTAAGACCAAAGTTTTTATATTAGCTTTTCTTAAACTGACGTACCCACTTTTTGGTTATTTTTTCTACTAACACAAAACAAAATCAACATTTTAAATAAAGTCTAAGTGTTTTATGTATAAATTATTTATAACATTGTTCACGCTCAGCATTTGCCACCTCGCCAAATGCGATAAAATCATAAATTCGACGAAACAAACTGTGTTTTGGCGAAAATATTAGCCAATGATTTTTTTCTACCGAAAAGAAAAATATATATTCTCCTAGATCCTGAAAATTGCATCAATATGAATTTTTCCGAACAAATCTTGTATTTTTAATTCGATTACAGTAATTTCCCTTAGATATGTTGCATAACTAATTGGAATTATATTAAGTCCAGATAACATGAGCAACAAACCAGATTAAGTGAGTACTTAAAAAAAAAATTACATGTTTAAACGCTCATTGCCGGATCACGCGATATCACGTGAAAAATTCGTCCCTTTAGTTTGTGCCAATAAAGTAGATTAAGTGGTAGCCCTAGATGCATATTATCATCCAACTATTTTTTTAGAAAATATGTGTTCTCATGACAGTTGCATATTGTTCATTAAAACTTCACTTAGATTTTATCTTTACAGATAATCACTTCTCAATGATAGATATAGTATAACCACCTGGGCCGGGATAGCCTGGTTAGTAGGGCATTGGGCCCATGTCCAAGAGGCCGTGGGTTCGATCCCTGCAGGCCAAAGACTCCCCATGTAGTAAATGGTGACTGATGCACGTTAAATCTGTCGAGTCTCAAAGTCCTCCATGCTCCCATAACAAATCAGTACCTCTGGGGGTACTGGATTGGAGATTGATCGTTCTCTGATTCAGGTCAAAATTACGATCTGTGGATGAATGAATGGATGTATGAATGGGTCCGCCCTATAAAACGGGTGTGACGTATGGGTGCGACAGAAGTCGAATTCTTGGCCATAGATGGCGCCACTGGAAAAACAAGAACGATCTCACCCTCTCTGCCTAAACAGGCATACGTCAACAACAAAAGACAACAACAAACTATTAATATTTGGCTAATTTACAGACTGCATTTGAAGTCCTTAGCGCTGGCTCTGTTTTATATATATTTTACTAGGCTTAAAACACAGATTCAATAACTGAGCAATTGAACTTTTTTCTTTTTTTTTCCTTTTTTTCCTTCTACAGATCGTAAGCTGATACGCTTATAGCTCATGGTGACTGCTCATAAAATTTTGGGTGCAAAATTTTAAATCATTTAGGCACTTTTTAAACAAAAATACTAATACGAATAATAATAAAATATTAATACTAATAATAATAAATATACTGAAATTAATAATAAAAAATAATAAATATACTAAAATTAATAATAAAAAATAATAAATATACTAAAATTAATAATAAAAAATATTAATAATATAATAATAAAATAATCATAATAAAAATAATAATCCTAATAAATGAGTAAAATAAAATAAAATTTCTATATCCTGGAGTAAATCGCGCTAAAATAAGCTGAAGATTGGTTCAACAGTCGCAATAAAAAACTTTTTTCAGCTCACACCAGCCAGAGAGGAATCTTTTTTTTAGTAAATTCTAACTCAAATGTTGATCGTTTGGTTAGGTCATTTTTGACTATAAGATACCTGTAAGTGAAGTAGAGTGGGTATCTCGATCCTGATTGGTTGATGTAACATGGCATTTGTTTACGTTAGCAACTGTTCTTTCCATTCTATTTCGAGTAAACCAAGTCCGTCAAGTATCAACTCTCCTAGGCAACACATTCTATATTCTTACACAAGAATTCTTCCACAGAGATTTAAATTATTTCACTATATATTTCGCACTTGGCACAAACCTGGCACGAAGACAAGTGGAACGTAAACATACTGATTATGCATTGAAGGTACACAAAACAAAAATGCATCACGATTACAATAAAATGCATAAACAAATAATAAATGTTACGTAAAAAAAAGACGTTAAAGAGAAAAAATTACATTTCGACAAATTTGATGTGGGATATGGCAATGTATTTAATTAACTTCAATTTAATTATCATTCCAACTTGTATGGAGAAACTTAACTCGACTTTAATACGTCATCTTGTTCGTAAACGATCAACTGGCTCTGAGTATCCATGATCGTCTTCTTCTCGAGTCGCGAATACCCAATTACAAATAAAATTTTATAGAATTTTAACAGATATCAAACTTATTTTTTCCTTTTAAAAATGAAAATCAATTTGGAAAATGTGCTAGTAAAATGCAATCCATAAGGCATGAGTTACCTAATTCTGGCGATATCACATAAGGAACAACTGCCCCAGGCCATAACTGAGAATCACGTGGTACAGCATTTCGATCCTGTAGAATTAAAAATAATTCACAAAGTGTTTCATCGAAATGTAAGAAAATCTTCTTACCATTTATCAGTAGATATTATGTATTTTTTAGTGAAAAAATTTCATGCGATACTTTTTTGATAATTTCGATAAAGAAATTAATTAATTATCAATAGCAGAGATTATTCACTTTTTTTATCATTATATCAAATACGGAACCTCTTTTCAACATCTAAGTGACTTTTTTTCTCTTTTACTGATTACATATAGTTGCTTGCTGATTGATTTCAAATTTAAATTTTACATAAAAACGTAGGATCGTTTTATTTCATTGATTTTTTTTCCTTATTATAAGCAATTTTCAAAAGCATTTTCTTTTTCTTTTTTTTTTGTAAATTTAAAAAAAAGGCAAGTAAAACGTGATATTATAATAAAATATTCAACTCACTTTCGCAGGTTTCGAAAAATAAAAAAATATTTACTTAATTAGTTAATGATGCTGCTAATCTCTTTTAACTCACGAAAAAAAAAGTGAATAAATAAAAGAAAAAAGAATTGGCAAAAAGAAAGAAAAAAAACTATACAGTCACCATCTTGTTTTTTATTGCTTTAGAATAATTAGTCTTTACAGTTTGATCGTTGTATACAAAGAAACTTTTTAAAAAAGTTTTGATATGTTCTATTGTCTCTCTTAAATCTGCTTATTTTAATCGCTTGAGTGGCATCAATGCTTAAAATCACAAACTCATATTTAAACATTAATTTAAAAAAGTGCCATATGTAATCTCAGAGATAAATTTTTGTTCTTTATTACTTTCACTGCTGACATGGAAGTACAATATCCTTTAGTTTTCTATTTACAAACTGATAAATTTGAGAAACTCCATATATCTCACCTTGTTTGAATGAATGCCTAATATATCGCCTTCAAATAGACCCTCATTGATCAGAGGATTATAGAATTCTGAAAAACATTTTAAATAAACTTGCAAAGATTAAAATATATATATATATTATTGAAACATTGGCGTGACAAACAGTGTTCAAAATTAAAAACGGATCCACTTTAATAACTTTTGATCTAATGATCTAACTTCACGTTCATTCGAATGGGTAACTTCAAGTATGCTAATTAATTAGTGCAGACGATATTTTAAGTTACGAAATCAGACACAAAAATGTTCTTTCGCTGAATAAACATACCTTTTTTCAAGGATTCGGATTTTTTTGCACATAATTATAAATTTCATTTATAATAATCCCATAGAAAAAATAACTTTTGATACATATTTATCATTTTTCATTATTTTATTTACTATGAAGTCGAAATATGAAGTCGAATATGAAGTCAAAAAAAGTTTGAATAAATTGTCTTTGGATGAATGAGTGACAGCTCCCTTAACCAAACAATTGTGACCATATTTCTCAGATTGCGGCTACTCCCCATATTTTAAAAGTCAAAAATCCAAATCCGTCGAAAAAAAGATATGTTTATTAAGAGAAAGTACATTTTTGGGCCCGATTTCGAAATTTAAAATATCGTCTGCACTAATTAATTAGCATATTTGAGGTTACCCTTTCGAATCATTAGGAATGAGTTCTAGAACGTGAAAATCTGATCATTAGATCAAAAATTATTCAAGATGGTCCGCTTTTTATCTTGTGCACTGTACAACGCAATGATAAAATAAATTGTACTCCATATTCCTTGTCATCATCAGTTCTTCTAAGGGAAGCCTTAAACTCTTTTCAAGATTTTGATTTTAAGTTTGAAAATACATTTTCATCGTTGAGCAATGTTGTATCATTTCCTTGTCCAACAATTTTCCGTTTTTATTAGCAGTGTTGGCCGCCTAGACCATGCACTTTAACGCTATTAGAGTTTTTTGAAGTCTAAGGTTACGCCAATAAAATCAATTTGAAGCAGAATATTGTTGATGCTGCACTCAACAAATTGATTTTAAAAATTAATAAACTCAATAAATTAAAGCAAAACGACCCTTGGAAATTTTGATAAGAGAGTCCACATGTATAGAGATTAACATATGCAAAGCCCTTTCGCCATTACCTGATATTCTATTCCATACATAATCCAATACTCTATACTTAAACAATCGATAAGAGATTCATTTTTTTTTTTAAAAATAAAAACAAAACGTTTTCTATCAAAACTACTTCTCTCATGAATTTTGGCATACACTTTACTTTTCTTGTACAAGTTAATTTCTGTAGAAATATTTGATTTAAATAAGGTCATCAACATCGAAGTTATATTATTTTAATTTAGTTAAACTACATTCAACATGAAACGCATTATATTAGATGAAAAAGTTTGTTGAATTTTGAATAGTGAAAAATTAAACAGAATTCATTTCATACCCTCATTTTTAAAATAAATTTTGCATTAGAATTCACCAAACTTTTGTGAAACTTACTTTGGCGAAATTTATTTTCTTTTTCCCAAAGATCTTTCCCAAATGTTTTATTCCTAAAACACTCTTTGAATAGTAACGCTTTATTTCAAACCAAAAATATGATTTTATCTCAAACATGTAAAACGGGAAAAAGTGGATATAATTTATCAAGCCTAATCGATGATTATAGATTTTTAATTTTACAGATTAAGGTTTTATTCTATATGAATTTATAGATTTTCCTCGATGTTAGTTGCCTATTCACTAGTTCTTCTCATTTCCTTCGTATTCTTTCCTTCTGTTACCTTTCATATAATAATAAAAATTTGAAAGCAATATTAATTCAAAATTAAATTCTTAGACAGTGAAGTGGGCGTGGTGGGTTATTTGGGGGGGGCGAAGCACATCTTAATTATCGGTTTAGGTCGTAGTTTAAAAAAGTTACTGTACCAGAAAAAAACTGCTCAACGCTAAGGTATAATATTGACATCAAGCCGTAATATGGTGCAATTTTCTTTAACTTTAATCGTGTTATCTCACAATTATGATGGCGTACATTTTTAAGCGATATGGTGCAATTTGCTTTAACTTTAATAAGGTGTTAAAATGCATAGTATAATTGAATTTAAAAACACGATAGTATGGTTCAACTTAGAGGAATTTTAAAGTTACAACAAAATGGAACCATAATATGACTCAACGCGATCTAACATTTTTAAAAGTGTAGAAACTCCTGTTCTAATCTATAAATATAGATAGCGAATTCATTACCTTTTAATCCGCTTGCCAATGTAAAGACACTCACGATTATGATGCCGTACATTTTTGAGATCATTTTGGTGTGTGATAAAGTTAAAAGTCAGGACTCTATATTGGTGTATAGTTAATTTAAATAACTTTTTATTATTATTTTTTCTTCTAAAAAATGCATAAATCACAGTATTTTATCTGACAGTGTTTGAGAATATTATCTATTGGATGAGAAAAGTCAAATCTGTTCTGTGCAAGAGACTGTGATTTCAAAAGAAACGATACGTAATTAAAAATGCAAACAGATAAATGCATCAGGTAAGCAGATATTTTTTTTTTTTAAAAAAAAACTTCCTCTAAAAAGTAGCAGCTCTTTTTTATTTTTTAAGTGAAAAATTTTGTATTGCATTTGAAAATGAAAAAAAAAAACTAGGAGGTTTTGTCATCTACTTGCTTCGTACTCATTTTACGTTAGCTGTCATCTATATTTCTCATTGGAAAACAAAAAATTCCTTTATTCCACTTTATTATTATAACCAATTAAGCAACAATGCTCTCCTCCTTATTTCTCTTAATTTTGAATCCAATTAACAATGCAAGTTGAAAAAAAGCCATGTTGGAGATCGTTTTGAGCGAAATTTACAAGCACAAAAACCTCACTAGTTTGGCTAGCGTCAACGAAATTTTTAATCCTTGACCACTGGGGGTGGTTTTTGTCAGCATTGTGGTTTGTACAGTGCTTTTACAAGATTTAATGTTTGTCGAAGGAAATTTAAAAAATTATTTAACTTCGATAGTTTCATTTCTTTCATCCATCCAAGCTTCATCGATCATGGCGTATACCGCCTACGCACCACTGGTTCATACAGAGTAATAAATAGGTATAACAAATACTATATATATAAATAATAAATACATGCGTCTAAATAATAAATTCATGCATATAATAAATACTGTATAACATGAAAGTTTTAGTACTTTTCTTTCGACAAAAAACGAAAATTCTCAATCTTTAATCTGTTGCTCTGAAATTGTAATAGAAATGTTGTAATATCATTATATTGCAAAAAAAGAAAAAATTATAATAATTGCAAAATTAATAATAGCTTTTGAATTTCTTCATGCAAAATTCTATTAATATATGCTCTATCTAGCATTCAAAAAGTTTTTCAGATTTGCATCTGAGAAAATTATGTGCATGGAGCAATTTAAATTGTTAACAACATTCAAAATTTCATATTAAGAAAATGCTCTCAACATAATATTTTACAAATATTAATGAATTGTTTTCAAAACATGAGTACATATAAGTTATTTTAGATAATATCACACTGGAAGTATCTGTATATGCATTTCTTCTCACCTAATAAAAAAGGAAAATTGTGATTGAAAAAAATAACTGTTCAAAAATTATTTTTCAAATAATATTTTCTTTTGTTAAATACTTTTTCAGCATGTAGGCTATCTGTTCATAGAATTTTAATTTCAATGTCAAAGCAGATTTAGAAAAAAATATATTTTACATCTGCAATTTTTTCATATTTTGCTTTAACTGTTATAAAATAAATACACTCAAAACTGCATATCATCTATGAAATACTAATTATTTACCCTATAGTTGATGCTCTCTATATAATATGTAGAAATATTATGAATGTTTTCAAAAAATGGATAGTTACAAAAGATATTTCAAGTTAATAATCTGCTGCATATGCAATTTCTTCACATTAAAAATATTGTATATAAATAAAAAAATATTGTATTTGTGAAATAATTATTTCTTGATCAAAAACTGGTGATTTCTTAAAATGTATTCAAATATAAAAAAATAACTTTTAAAAAATGAGTACAAGATATTTTGTAAAACAATGGGTTAATCTGGAGTTTAGATCTTTCTTAATTGTTTTTACACTGATAGCAATATATTTTATTCTTTGTTTTCCTATTTAGTTTTTCAAAAGAAGCAAGACGAGTTTCCTGGATCATCTTGTACAGTCCGCAAAAAAAAAAACGANTAGGTTAACTTCAGTGGACAATAAATTTGATACTTGGCCATCTTGTTTTTTCTTTTGTGTTTACTGAAATGTTCTAGAAGAGATTGTGTGTGGTTTTTAACAATTTTATATAATTTAAACTATTGTATTTATTAAAAGTCATTTAAAATTTTTTTTAATATAATTCCTTTAACATAACTTTCTTTCCTAAAAAGCAGCAAGTAATTATATATTTACTCATTGTATTTTCAAAGTGTTGACATTTAAATCTTGTATTTTGCAGGATTTCTATGTACTATAAAAAGGCTTTAGTATTCATTTTATCTTTTAAAAATCCTTAAAAACCTTAAAATTTGTTTCATCTGAACCTCCACTTTCCTCTACTAACATCTCAATTGCTGTGTCAAATCTTTAATTTATTATAGAGCATTCATTACAGATAATAATGCCTGGGCATTTGTTATAGAGCATTTATTTGCTCACTACTTCATGTATTTTGTGAATGAGATAGAGCATTTCATGAGTTGAGTTTAAACCTCTATTGGAAAATAAATATTCCTTTTTATTAAATACCCTGGGTATTTAGCTTTAAAAATAAAAACACAGTTATTTTACATTGCTATTTGTAAATTACAGTTTTGTACACTTCATNCATCTCTCATATCCTGCTTCAATGACGTTATTTTTTCACGATGCATCCATTGCCAATAGCCCATAAGTGTATAGTTCGTTCACCAGGAGTTGCAACTTTTTTCCGCCTCCATCACGTTGTATTCGACGTTACCATTTCGTTACGTTTGGGAGAAGGATGTGAACAATACTGAGCAAGGTTGCTATTTGGCAATTGTATAACAAAAATATTTATTTCGCAATCCTTTTTAATATTAAATATTTCCTAAATTTGATATCTTTTAAGTGAATAGTTTGACCTTTATGAGACATGCTATCTATTTATTTAGCTAGAGTAACGAAAAGTATGATAAAGCGGTGACTGGAAAAGAATTCACTCGCATTAAGGGTAGTTTTATTAACATTATAACGAGGTAGGGTAGTTTTATAACAAGTTTTATTAACATTTTAGTCAAATTCAATAACTTTAATAATTTCTNCTATTTATTTAGCTAGAGTAACGAAAAGTATGATAAAGCGGTGACTGGAAAAGAATTCACTCGCATTAAGGGTAGTTTCTCTTCTGACTACCGCTCTCTGCATCTGAGGAGGTGGAGCCAACTCCTGGTGAACGAGTTTTATTAACATTTTAGTCAAATTCAATAACTTTAATAATTTCTTCTACAAAAAGCTTTTTATAATCATAAGAGTAGCCACCATACTGTCTAGACACCAGCACTGGAACACTTCCAAGTTGTTGAGGAAAGTTGGCAACAGCAGCAACGGGGTAGGGAGCTGCAACAGAAGCTGCGAATTGTAGTGGTTGACTTCCGAAGGCAGGAGGTGCATAGTAGGGTTGGACAGAAGTCACTCCAGGAATGTTTGACTCGGAAACAGATGCTGCTTCTGTCCCAGGATACATCAGGAAGGTGTCTTCTTCGAAAACAATGGCTCTTTCGTCTACTCCTGGTTCCGTTGATTTGAGCTCAGCATGGAAGTCATTCTCGTCTGCGACGTAGTTGACGATTCTGATCAGACCCTCGTTGTTCGTGCAGCTGTATGTGCCATCACACCTGAAAGTCCCGCCTTAATTGTGTCCCTCGTTCTACCCTGTTAGTCGTAGTTGCCCTGGTTCTGCAAAGAAAATTAAGTTTCAATAGAATACATTGCGGCGATGGTTTATTGGAGAACAATGCAACAAAGAGGAAGAAATACAATTAAAAAAAAAAAAAACCTAAAACAAGTAACAAAACAAATCTAAATAGAATAGGCGTACTGAAGGGTACTCGATATCGTCAGCATTTTCCTCTCCATAACCATGATATCCAGAAATTATGCTTTTTCCTCACACCATTATAGTTTGTCTAAAGTAAGAACTCCTCTAGCCATTGGTTTGGACCCGTGGCGGTAACGAGATATAACTATTTCTAGTAGAGGTGTGGAATCATTGTTTAGGTGAGGTTTTGCCTCAGGTCGGCGAGAGAAAGGGAATCTTTTTCTTCGGTCTGAGGAGAAGTCTCTGAAATGTGCAATTCTTGTTTCTATAGTAGCAGATGGCTCAGGGGATAGAGCATTTGCCTTCCAATGAGAGAAACCGGGTTCGAATCCCTGTGATGACTG